ATGAGGGGAAATTTGGGGGTTTTTGCTCCCCTGGAGTGACTTTGTGGTGTTGTTGTGTATATAGAGCTGATTTTCTAATACAGTCTTTCTAGTTTGCCTGCAGCCTGCCTACCAGCTTATGGCTTTTCCACGTGGATCAGTGTGCTTGGATTTCAAAATTCTTTGTATAAATTGTTTCTCTAACTCTTCCAAATACATATTTCAATATTTATACACACATTAGGAACATATATATAGGTATTTTTATTTTCCCTTTAGTGACATGGGTTCTTATTTGAGAGCCTGATTCTCTATGCTGAATAAATAATAAATATATCAAAATAGCCATTGATCTTGCTCAGAGGTGTAGGATGAAAACTACTCTGTGGTACACTAAGGAAATAACTTAGTGGTGATAAAATAGCAATTTTTTAGAATGTGAAGGGACCCTTTTGGAGTACAGTAGTACCACCAGTGTCATGTTTAAAGCTGGATTTACTCCTTAACAACCTGGATTTGCTGCAGTGGCAAAATAAACACTGGAGTGAAAACACCATGAGGTTTGGTGCTGTGCCACCAAGTCTTGTGCAAAATGTTCCAGAGAAAACCAATTGCACAGGTGTGGGTCTGGGCAGTAAAAGAAGATCTGCAAAGTGTTGTTCTGGAACCTGGATTTGGCAACAATGGGGAAAGCAAGGACACAGTGTGCTCCTGAGCTCAGGGCTGGTTCTGTGTGATCTCTGTCCATTTGAGCTGTGCCTGAGTGTCAGCTGAGGTGTTTTCATGTGTCACTGCAGAGATGGCTCCAGAGCAGCCCCTGTCCATGTGTGGAGGAGTTGATCTCATCCCAAAGACCTCTTGGTGTTCCACTACCCCAAGAGAGCAATTTTTAGTGATTGCATGTTCCTAAGTGCTGGATGAGCAAATCACATACTGAAATCTGGGAGATTTTATCAAGAAAAGGAGTCACTTATATTAAATGTCAGTTATTTTTATTGCACATATTTAATAAATTACTTTAGCCAGTCTGGAGGGTATGTGTGCATTTTCCACCTGCTGCAATGGAAATGGGTACAGAGTGGGGTGAGGCTGTGGTACCTGTGAGTGCTGTACCTGTGTGAGCTGAGCCAGTGGGACCTGTACCTGTGTGTGAGCTGTATCTGGACCTGTGTGAGCCGTGCCTGTGTGACTTGTACCAGTGTGTGCTGTACATGTGTGAGCTGTACAGGTGTGTGAGCTGTAACTGGACCTGTGTGACTCGTACCAGTGTGTGCTGTACAGGTGTCTGAGCTGTAACTGGACCTGTGTGACACGTACCAGTGTGTGCTGTACATATATGAGCTGTAATTGACCTGTGTGACTCGTACCAGTGTGTGCTGTATGTGTGTGAGCTGTAACTGGACCTGTGTGACTCGTACCAGTGTGTGATCTTTACCTGTGCAAGCTGTGCCTGCTCCTGTGCGGCAGCGCTGGGGCAGTGCCGCGGCTCAGCAGCGATGCGCTCCCGTGTTTTGCCCTTGTTTACGGTATGGCCGCTCCCGGACGCAGCGATACCCTCCCGCCGCCGCGCTCCCGCGCGGGTTCGGGCGCGGCCGGACCCTCCCCGAGGGCGGGCCGGTGCCGGGGTGGAGGCGCTGCCCGCCGCGCTCGGCGGCACGGGCGGCGGCGCTGGGGACGCGGCCCCGGCCTTCCCGCAGCTGCGCAGCCTCAACCTGAGCGCGAACCGGCTGCGGGAGCTGGGCCCGGGGCTCGCCCGCGCCGCGCCGCAGCTGCAGGAGCTGCTGCTGTCCGGGAACCGGCTGCGGGCGCTGCCCGGAGGGCTCCTGCCCCCCGACGGGCCGCCCGCGCCCTTCCCGCTGCTCAGCCGGCTGGACGCGGCCGACAACGAGGTGGCGGAGCTGGGCGCGGACATCGCGGCGCTGCCGGCGCTCAAGGTGCGAGCCGACCCCGCCGCCCCGCCCGGCTCCCCGTGCCGCGCCGCTGAGCGCCCCGTGTCTGTCCCTGCAGAGCCTGGACGTGGCCAACAACCAGCTGCGGGAGCTGCCCGCCGCGCTGGCCGACTGCCCCCGCCTGAAGGAGGCCAACTTCAGGGGCAACCAGCTGCGGGACAAGCGGCTGGAGAAGATGGTCAATGGGTGCCAGACGAAGGCCATTCTGGAGTACCTACGGGCCGGCGGCCGTGGGAAGGGGAAGGCTGAGAGTGGCAGAGAGGACGTCAGGAAGAAGAAGAGGGAGAAGCAGCAGAAGAAGGACAGCGGGGACGTGGAGCAGGATGAGGTGGAAGAGGCGAGCAAGCTGCTGGTGAAGGTTCTGCACGTCTCTGAGAACCCAGCGCCTTTGGTGGTCAAAGTGAGCCCGGGTGTCAAAGATGTGCGAGCCTTCATCGTGTGCTGTGTGCTGAAAGGAGTGAACTTAAAGCCGGGAAACGCTCTCAAGAGGTTCCTGACCGTGCAGGTAACAGCTGCAGCCTCGTGGTATTCATTTGGAATGGGAGAGTTGGAAATAGACAGTTCTGTTTCTGGCAGAGTTGGAAATAGACAGTTCTAGGCCTCTTCCCGCAGATGAGTTTGGGAAACTTAAGGTGAGCTTCTCACTCAGCAAGTGTGAGGGTACAGGTACATGCCAGCAGCGCATGCCTAGTCAGTCTGAAATCAGCAGAACTGGTTTTTGGGAAGGACCCATCAGAGCTGAGGTACTGCCACGAGGGCAGTGGACACACTCACATTTGTGTTGTGACTGTAACAGCAGCTTGTTAGTGCTGTGGAACCTGTTAAAAGCTAAAAATAACCCTGTGTCCCCTGGATTGGCTCCTGATCTGTTAAAACCATGTTTCACACCCAGCTTTCTGACTGAGGTATCCTCCCCACAGACCTGTCCCTGGGCCTGCTGCTCACCTGTCCCTTAGGTGGCAGGTGGGAGCTGCTTTCAGGTTGCAAGGCTTGAGTATTTGGGATTGCTTTCTGACTTAAAATTTGATTCCCCTGTAGAGAAACATGGCATGTGTTGTCAGGCTTTGCATTTGGGATGTAACAGTGATACAGGGAAGGGAAGGGCTCTGTTGTAGTCTCCTGGCTGGTAGTGCTGCCAGCATTAAATATAGAAGATAAGAGGGATAAATCACATTGACTTTTTGGTCTATTTTGATGGCTTCCTTTATGTTCAGACCAAGCTGCACGAGGACATCTGTGAGAAGCGCACAGTGGCCACCATTGCCACCCACGACTTGCAGCTGGTCAAAGCTCCTCTGACATATGATGTTCAGCCTCCTGACGAGCTCAAGGTAGGGCTTAAGGATGCTGTCTTACCCCACAGAACCTAGAAAACAAACTCCAGGAGCTTTACTTCAGATGTTGTACTGGTTTCCTTGCTGTCCTGCTGTACCAGGTGCCTGGTTTAGTACTAGTGACCGAGCTTTTTCACGTGGGTGTTACAGCAGTCCAGGTGAAATGGAAAGTTATTTCCATGCTGAAAAAAGCATGACAACATGCAGGAATACTGTTTAATTATCGACTTGCTTACAGGGGAGTGTTGTAACCCTGGTGTTTGAGTGCAATTGAATGAAAATCTTGCTGTGTGGTGCAGATCATGCCCCTGGGTCGGAAGGAGATCAAGGCAAAGGACCTGCTCCGGCAGCTGCAGCTGGAGGCTGAGGAGCAGCGGAAGCAGAAGAAGCGTCAGAACGTCTCTGGGCTGCACAAGTCAGTGCCTTGCTGTGCTTTTCCCTCATACCTGTGGGTGACTGCACTGGGGATGTGACAGATGCGTTTAGAACAGCAGATAGAAGGGAAGCAGAGTGGACTGAAAGGTGTATGGTGCACGTGCTGTGAGCTCAGGGAATCAGGGATGAGGTAAACTTGACGTAGTAGCAGATGGGCTAAAAGGCAGTGTGTGGCACTGCCCTGTGCTGAGGTCACACACTAATTCCTTTTTGTCACTATTTCCTGCCCTTGTGTCCAGCTGCTCTCTCAGTTGCTCACTTCTTGCTGCTTTTTTCCTCGTGGCAGGTACCTGCAGCTCCTGGATGGCAAAGACAGCTACCCATGCCTGGTGGATGCTGAAGGTGCTGTGATTTCCTTCCCACCAATAACCAACAGTGAGAAAACAAAGGTACTTCTCATTCATGGAAATTCATTAGAAAGAAACACTGCTTAATTATTAATGTGAGATGTTTAACTCAAAGACATACAGTTCTGTGAAACTTGTCCTTGTAGTCCAAGTATAAACTCTTACAGTTTATATGGGTTCCACTGTCACACTGAGAGGGATCTGGGAGTTAGTTACAGTTTTACCTCTGGAAATCTGTTCCAGAGCTCCAGCCTGCCTGTGCAAAGGCTTTGTTGATGGGTAAGAACATGATTTTTGATTTGTAAAGAACAGCAGAGCTTTGCCCTTGATTAAACTGAGTGAAAACCATTGGCTCTGTGGGCTGGAATGTGTCAGGGGGCTGTGGGTAAGCTGCTCTGACTCCTGACTTGCTTTATCTCTGAAACTCTTACAGATTAGAAAAGAGACCCGGGACCTGTTTCTGGAAGTGACAAGTGATACCAGTTTACAGATCTGCAAAGATGTGATGGACACCCTTATCCTGGTAGGGAGTTCAGGAAAATACTCTTCTGTTCTTGGGTGGGCTCCTACCAAATGTGTTATTGCTCACATGTATTGAGAAGAACACAGAAGATGATTTGTATTTTAATAGTATTGTTACTCCCTCTCTTTGTTCCCTGCCACAGAATTGATGTTGTTCTCTGTACTTTGCTTTTAACAGAAAATTGCAGAGCTGAACAGATCTGCCTTGGAGAGCAAGGAAGGCTCTGGTTCAGATATGGAATCGGATGCTCTCTGTGGAGCAGGGAATTTGAACCTGCCCTTGGTGCTGGAGCAGGTGCGAGTGGTGGACACGGATGGGAACTTGAAAGTACTTTATCCTTCAAAAACAGACCTGGCCACAGTTTCCTCTCTGCTGACTGTGATCCGTTAGCAGCTGCCTGAGCTGGGACAGGATTCCATTGCCTTTATTTTGGTTTTTTTTTCGTATATTCAACAACACAACTGGTGCACAGTGAGATGGTTTGGGTTTTTAAAGATGTGGAGCATCCTGCTGGGAAGGCAGTGGCTTCAGAGTTTGATGAGCTACAGCAAGGAGAATTGGGATTTTTCATCCTTAACAGAGATCATCCATGTTAGGCCTGTGCAAAAGAGCAGCATCTTCAAACATGGACTGAAGGCAGAGAAGCTGTTGGATGTCAGAATGCAGTAGAGAAAATCGTTACAATGGTTAAAACAAGCACAACCACATTTTTCTGCAAGATCACTTTTTCCTTTTGGTGTTTCATCTGGATCATTATTATGGCAACAGAAAAATGCAGGAATTGGCAGTGTGGAACTGAGGTCCTCTGCTGGGTACAACCTGGAGTCAGAATGCCAAAGCACTTTGCTGACATCTTGTTCTGCAAAATTTTATTTGGAGTAACTGTGAACATTTAGTTGCTGTCAGAAGCATTTAATTGCTGTCAGAACTTGAGGGATGCATTTTAAAGTGACGGTTTTTGTGTTCAGGCATGAGCACAGCTTCCATTTTTAAGGGATTTGTTGTGTCAGCTGCAGGGTTTGTGTGTCCCAGTGCATTTCAGGGCCACCCTCCATCCCTGTGGGAATTGTGGTGACCTTGTGTGTGCTAGAGAGTTACTGTGGTTGAGCATTGGCTTTGTTCTTGCTGAGGAGGTTCAGGTGCATTCAGAGCTGCCTCCAGCTGGCACTGCTGAGCTCCCTGTCCCCCCAGAGTACAGGCACTGATGCCCAGAGTGACCCTCCTGGAGCTTTCTGCCCCAACCACATATTTTTGCCTTCCAAAATACAGGAAATTGGAGCAGTTCTTGTTTGGCAGTCTCTGGGTGACCTATATTTGTGTGTGTGTGAGCACTGGTGTGAACTCACACCTCTCCCTAAACCAGTTAACTCCCCCAGACTGACTCTCTTCTGGTAAAAATGATATCTCAGAGCTCTAAGTGAACTGCTGCTATGTCAAATACATCCCCATGTTGGGACTTGCACATGGAATGGAAAAATAAAACAGCTTCTGCAGCCCTGGCACTGTCCCTCGTTTTGGCATTGGGGGATGTTCAGTCAGGTCACTTAAAAACTTCCCACGGCAAAAATGGGAATTATACACTCCCCAGCTGCTTGTAGCCAAGTCTGCTTGTGCTTCAGGCTTCTCTGGGAAGTCAAGTGTTACTACAGACCAAGGACTTCCTGTGACTTGAGCTCTGAGCTGGCTGAAACAATTGAACCAGATACTCCCACAGAACTTGGTGTCAGTAAAATGAGTTTAATCTGTTGTAAGGCACCAGCTCCGAGCTGAGAGCCCAGAGCCTGAGGCTGGTGATGGGATCTGGCTCAGCCATCAGAGCCTTTCCATCCTGGAGGATTTCCTTCTCCTAGCTGGTGATGCTGTGCTGCTGTCACTGCTGAGCAGTGATGTCTTGCTGCCCTTGTTCTTCAGCATCTGCTGGAACTCCGTCCGCTCATTAAAGATTTTCTGAAAATCAGCAATATATGAAGAGCTGGGAAGGCTGGGAGCAGCACTGCAAAGTGTCCTCTTACCTCAGCAGTCCCCTCCTGGCTGCTGGAAGCTGTCTGGAAGAGCCACATACCTGCACTGCCTCCAGCACTTCATCATCTGTGAGCTCGCCCTGGGGGTCCTGGCTGCCCTCCACGCTGAACGTAGCCTGGATTATTTTGTTTCTAAACCTTTCAAACTTTGGATAAAAGAGGAGAGCAGGTGTGTTCAGTCTTTATGTGCAATTCCTTGGCATTTGCACTGATTTACAGAGACTGTGCTGTCAGGCTTGGGCAAAGGACTGGTGAATGATGATGTGGAAAAGTGTTTATGTGAAATTACAGGCAGTTTGGGCTTCACTGAAAGTGCTGTGGCAATCATGTGGGTCTAGGTGGACTCTTCCCCTGGCTCCAGGCACATGTGCCTGCAGGAGATGACTTTAGGGTGATTCTTTTACCTTGGGTCTGCAGGAGATGACTTTAGGGTGGTTCTTGTTACCCTGGGTCTGGAAGGATGTTAGAAATCTGGTGATGTAACTGATCTGAACTGCTGTTTCTCAAGAGTTGCTGGTATTTGTGGTCTGTATTCTAAGTGGCACAAGAGCTGCCTGCTCCACAGCTAGGGAGCAAATGGATTGAGATTCCCAAGTGTGTCCCAAGAGGGAGACAGGGCTCTGAGGTGACAGAGGCCACGCTTACCTTGCTGCTGATGAGCTCCAGTGCCACTCTGCTTTGCAGCTCTGTGTGCTGCAGTGTCTCAACCTGGCTCTGGGTCTCCTTCTGGGCCTGTTTCTGCATCAGGAGGTGGAGGCGGGTGGTCACAACCTCAGCCTGCAGCTGGCTGACTGTCCCCTGTAGCTCACTGATGAGCTTGTTCTGCTCAGCCAGCTGGAGTTCCTGTTCTGTAACAACCTGAGCAGATACAGAAATCCAACTGTCAGTGGGGAGAAGAAAAGTGAGCAAGTTTGGCCTCATTTTCCCACTATTTGATCCAAAGGTTTCCTGGGCAGAATCTATGGACTGACAATCTCACCAGTACTGGTAGATGTTATTATTTGATGTTTTCTCTAAAACTATTTGGATTGAGTGGAGCTTTTTTATGCCAAACTCCACCAGCCCTAAAACTAGCCCAGTGAAGCAGCAAACACCAGACTTTTATGTAGAGGCTTTGCACGAATTCACCCGTTGAAGGTTGTGGTTCTCCTCCTCCATCATCACCACCGCTTCTTCCTGCCTCTGTTCTTCTGTGAGGCTGCAGAGCTGTAAGGAGAATATTTTACACTTCAGTTTCACAGCTACAGCTGCCACTCCTGCCTAAGAGAGAGGGACTTGTTGCAAAAATCCCAAATTCCCAGCTGCCCTGTCTCCTGCTAGCCATGGCCACCACGCTCTTGGGCCGTACCTTGTCAGACACAGCTTGGAGCTGGACTTCTCTCTCTCTGAGCTGCTTCTGGAGCAATTCCTTTTCAGATCTGATTCTCCGAAGCTCAGATTCTTGGATCTCCATCTGTCTTTGCAAGGAAGAGATGGCACCTGTAAAGTGGGAGAGCACTCTGTTAGCAAAGCAAATCCCTGCTGAACGCTCTGTGGCTGCTTTGTTCAGGTGAGCATAAGCAAAGCCACTGTGGGAACAGTCTGGGACCAGACTTGGGTCACATTAATGCTGCAGCTGCAGTAATTCTGGGTGATAATGTGGTTTGTGGGTTTGTACAGTCTGGGGAAGAAAAGGTGGTTTCACTTCAGGGTGACTAATTGTGGCATTCCACTACCACAAGGAGCTGACAAGAAAGAGACTGTTTACAAGGTCCTGGAGTGACAGGAGAAGGGGGAATGGCTTCAGACTGATAGAGAGCAGGGTTAGATTGGATATATGGAAAAAATTCTTCCCTGTGAGGGTGAGGAGACCCTGGCCTAGGGTGCCCAGAGAAGCTGTGGCTGCCCCTGGATCCCTGGCAGTGCCCAAGGCCAGGCTGGACAGGGCTTGGAGCAGCCTGGGATGGTGGAAGGTGTCCCTGCCCACGACAGGGGGTGGCACTGGGTGATTTTTAAGGACCTTCCAACCCAAACCATTCTGTTATTCCACGTGTATTAAACAACCCAGCTTTGAGGTGGGCACTGCTCTGAGGATACACAGAGTGGGCTCCTCAAGCCCCGCTGTGCCACTCTGCTCAGCGCTTTCTCTGCCGGGTTTTCTCATGTCCTTCACTTCCATGGGCAGAAAGAAAATGTTTTCAAAACAAGCAGCTTTTCAGCCTGTGAGCGACACCCTGTAATGTTTCCAAGGTGAGAGGAGCCGAACTGAATGAGACCTGGGCGGGTAAAGGCGTGCTCTGGGCACTCCCCCATGTACCTATGGCCATTTTGTGGTCATCCTTGGCTTTCCGCAGCTCCTGCTGGAGCTCCTGCATGGTTTCGGTGAGCTCTGGTCCCTGCGGGCCATCGGCCTCCATCGCTCGGAGCTGGGGCCGGGGTCGGGGTCTCTCCCGGCGCCGCGGCGCTCGGAGCGGGCCCGCTGCCGGGCAACGGCGTGAGGCGGGCGGGCCTTCCGCTTCCGAGTCAGCGGGGCCGCGCCATGGGGCGGAGGAGGAAGACCCTGCACGACTACGCGGCCGAGTTCTCGGAGCTGTCGGTGCGGCGGGAGCCGCCGGGGTCGGGCCCGGCGGGCGCCGTGGAGACGCTGCTGTGCACGCCGTGCCAGCTGCCGCTGAGGGTGCGCCGCGACCGCATCCTGGAGCACCTCAGCTCGGGCCGCCACTGCCGCAACCGCCGCCTGCTCCGGCAGCTCGGGCTGCGCGCCCCGGGGCTCCGGTGAGGGACGCAGCGCTGCTGGGGATCGCCCCTCGGCCTTTCCCTGCCTCACCCGACCGACCACTGCTCCGCCTCACCCGGCCTTTCCCTGCCTCACCCACCTTATTTCAGTCTCATCCGACCGACCACTGCTCCGGCTTATCTTGCCCTTTCCTGCCTCACCCGCCTCATCTCAGTCTCGCCTGACCGACCACTGCTCGGGTTCCTCCCGCCCTTCCCTACCTCATGCACCCTATTTCAGTCTCACCCTATTTCAGTCTCACCCGACACACCCCTTCTCGGGCTCATCCTGCCTTTTTCTGCCTCACCTGCCTCATCTCAGTCTCACCCGACCAACCACTGCTCCGGTTTATCCTGCCTTTCCCTGCCTCACTCACCCTATTTCAGTCTCACCCGACTGACCCCTGCTCGGACTTAACCCTCGGTCTTTCCCTGCCTCATCCACCCCATCTCAGTCTCACCCGACCCACCACCCCTTCTCGGGCTCATCCTGCCCTTCCCTGCCTCACTCACCCTATTTCAGTCTCACCCGACACACCCCTGCTGGGGCTCATCCTGCCCTTCCCTGCCTCACCCACCTCATTTCAGTCTCACCCGAGCTCAGAACATTATCCCCAGCTGGACCAGTGCCCGTTCCCCTGTGCTGGGCACTGCTGAGGCCCCTCAAGTTCTGTGGGGCCGTGCCCAGTTCTGTTCCTCACTACAAAACAGACATTGAGGGGCTGGAGTGTGTCCAGAGAAGGGCACGGAGCTGGGGAGTCAGTCCTATGCGGAGTGGCTGAGGGAGCTGCGGGTGGCAATTAGTGCTGTGGTTTAATTAACAAGGAGGTGTTCAGTCAAAGGTCTGCCTTGATGATCTTGGAGGTCTTAATGATTCTTTAATTATCTGTCTCACCTGACCCCACTCAGGAAGCATTTGGACAGCATCCTCAGACATATGGTGGCATTCTTGGGGTGTTCTTATGCAGGGTGTTCTCAAGAGTTGGATGTGATGATCCTTGTGGGTCCCTTCCAGCTCAGGATATTCTCTGATCTCTGTCTCCTCAGCTCTGCAGATCCTGACTCCAGCCTGAACCTGAGCCTTCCCCTGCCACTCGACGTGCCCTCCCTGCTCTCCCATCCCTCCTTCCTCATCACCACTGAATCTGGCACCGGCTACAGCATGGTTCCCTCCCCACCCTCCTGCCACAAGCTGCTGGCTCCCCACCACCCCGTCCCTGCCACGCATAGGGACGACCCAGCACCTTCCACCAGCCACCCCTCACCGCTGGCCACCTTCCACAGCAGGACTGCCCCTCTTGGCCACAGTGGGCCCGCACCTGATGCCTCCAACAGCCCGACACCCCCCTCATCTCACGGTGACAGCGGCGTTGGCCTCGCGCTCTTCGGCGCAGGGCTCATGAGCACAGCCTTGCTGCAAAGCCTGCTGGAGGAGGCGGGCTGCTGCCTGCTGTACGTGCTGGAGGATCAGCTGGAGGAGGTGAAACGTGCCTTTGGTGCCCAGGTCCCCGGTGGTGCCATCGTGCTGCGGCAGCAGGATGCCAGCGTCGCGCTCAGCGATCCGCGGTACTGACGGCCACCAGCTCCTGTGTGTGGCTCTGCTCAGGGCAGGGGGGGGTCTATACAAGCCTTGCTTTCCCCTCTGGGAAACTCTGGTAGCCCCAGACTGTGCCTCTGGCCATCCCTGTGGGAGTGAAGGGTTCTTTTGTCACCTATCCACGGGTCCTTCAGGAGTCTCTGAGGAAATGAACTGGGCTTGCGTACCCAGATTAATGGAAACTTGGAGGTGTTCAGTTACAGGCAGTTTTGTTAAATAATAAAACCCATTTTCCCCAATTCCTACAGAACAATAATAAATGACACCTTCCCTGCTGCCAGCCAGTTTCCCTGTCTCAGAGCAGTCGGCTGAGTTTGGTGGCTCTTGGAGCTCTGAGATAAGCGAGGGTTGGTGTCAATAGAGAGGATTGTGGCATTTTGATTTACAGTTGAACTGAACAACTGTAACATCACTAAAGTGCTGTTGCTGTCAGGTCTAAAATATTGCAGGAGCAAAAGCAGAGCTTTTAGAAAAGGCAGATTTGATATTAACAAATGAATCACAGGAAGCTAAGATGCATTGATCAGCTCTACCACATAAATACTTTGGCTTTCTCTGTGTGTATTAACTGACAGGATTTAAATCCTTTTTAAAGAAAACCTTTAAAATACTTTCTCCTAGAAGATGCAGGAAAAGCAGTGCAATTCCTTTGTGCCACTTGTGATTCTAACCTATGTGTGTTACTCTATATTTCATCTTTGGAGCAAGCACCAAATTCCTTCTATAACCCAGCTGGCTCTTCCAGAGCAATGGGACTTTAGGTTTTTTTAACTGTAACCAAATAGAAGTTTTGAGCACTGTTTAATCTAGTGAAAACCTTGTCCTTACTGAAGATCTGTCTTGATTCCTGCAGAGTCTCTGGAGCTATTATTTGTTCCCCACCTGACAAAGCCCCTGAGATGGTAAGAGATGCCTTACAAGCAGGTGAGAGGAGCAGCTACACATTCAGCTTTTCCCTGTGCCCATTGATGTGCACTTGTGAGTGTGTTTGTGTTTCAGCAGCAGCCCTGGAGTTGTGCAGGCTCTCAAATTGTGTAATTAAAGTGACTGAGATCCCTGCTGATGTTAAAGGCTGGACACCAGTGGGGTTTGTGCTATGCTGGTATGACTGGGCAGTGTCTCATCCTAAAATCCCACCGGGGCTCACAGGAAAGCTGTCACCAAAACAGTCCCACTGCTGGGGTCTGGGACAGCTGAAACCACAGCAGGCAGGCAGAAGGGGATAAATGCCATCAAAACCAGAAATGTAACGAGCTGTTTCTGCAATGTCAAGGTGTTTTGTGCAGCTGTGTCTCCCCTGAGCCCTGTGTGTGTCCTGTTTTGCACAGGTAAAGGTGTGTTCTGCGAGGGGCTGCCCAGCTTGGACAGACAGACAGCAGAAGCCTGTTTCGATGAGGCCGACAGGTGTGGGAGGCCACTTGTGTGTGGGTTCTACAAGTAAGACCTGTGGTTTTCCTGTGATTTATTCTTGATAAAATCCCATGTCTGCAAGCAGCACTGATTCCTCAGGCTTTCCTGCCTTTGTCCTCAAATCTGCTTTGTTTCACCTCATTCCTTGTTCCCCTTGGAAGGCGCTTTGACCCAGCCCTGCAGTTCCTGTACAAGAAGGTGCGGGACAGCCAGGCCCTGGGCAGGATCCAGCGGATATGGACCCGCAGCAGCCTCTATCCTGCAGCCTCTCTGAGCCTGCTGAAAGCCTCAGGTACCCACCAGCTCCCTGCTCAAGAGTCTGGGCTCCACTCAAAGTCATGGAATGGTTCGGGTGGGAAAGGACATTTAAGCTCATCTGTTCCACCCCCTGCCATGGGCAGAGACACCTTAACCAGACCAGGCTGATCCAAAACCTGTCCTGGAAATGCCTCTGTGTTCTGTGGGAATTCACCTGAATTTGTATAGCCTTAAGATCCATGGGGAGGAGTGTTTTTTGAGGAGTGTTTTCTTTATCAAACTTCATTTCTGTGCATTTTTTTTGTCTCTTTAGTATTAGTTCCTTCACTGTGGGGGCTTTTTATACCATCTCTGTGCAGTTCAGAAATGTACATTGGCGGTGGGTTTCAATATGGAAACACTAATACCCAGTTTTGGTTCTTCCAGGTGGAATTTTTTACAATGCTGCTGTGCATGACATAGATATTATCAGTTGGTTGTTGGGAGAGAGTGTACCAGATATAGTATTTTCCCTGGGCCATGCCTTCTGTGCAGGTAACAATGAGTCTTTTCATGGTTTATTGGGTACCTCTGGACTTCAGGGTTAAAACTGGGAAGAAAGAAGGAACGAGAGCATTATAGCCATGACAATTGTTCCATCATGGATCAGCTGAATAAACAGGCTGGTGGAGCAGAAGGCAGATTCCTTGGGGGTATTTGGTGAATATCTCTGAATCTGGTGAATCTCCTGCTGATGTGAAGTAGTTGCAGTGGAGTTATCATTGAATTTGACTCTGCAGGACACCAGGTTTGGAACCAGAGTGCAGAAGATAACTGGGCTAAGGTTTGAGCTCACAAGAATGTCAATGAAATGTTAATTCTCTGCTTTCTCTGGCCCTTCCCTGTGGATCCCACCACAAAGCTGTGTGTTTGCTCTGGGTCAAGTTGGGCTGCCATGCACACTCTGGGTTACCACACTCATTTAAACGAACCATAAAAGGTGGAAGCTGCCATTTTTGAAATGAAAATGCAGAGTTTTTAATTAAAGTAATTGCAGCAGCTGCCAGGCTTGGCTGGCTGGGGTGAGGAGGGGCAGGATGCAATGCTCTCTTCCATGGCACACATTGAAATGCAGCAAACAAGAGCCCTCCAGGAGGGTTCTGTACCCTCTGTCTTGCTCCTGGAACGTGCTGGAAGTTGTCTGATCCTGGAGGCAGAGGTGTGTGCTCTCGTTAGGGAGCTGCAGGCTGGGGAGGTGCAGTTGGGCCTGGGGCTGTGTGTTCCTGCAGAACTGCCTGTGTTCCATCAGGATGCACTGGTGAAGCAGCTGGAGTGCTGTACCAGTGCATCCTGTGAGAAGGTGTCACAAAGCCAGTGTCACCTCCTGAACGAAGAACAGCAGTTTGTAGCTGTAGGATGTGCTGGTTTCTGTTCCTGGGGTGAGCCAGGCCTGTTTTGTCCCCAGACATGGGCTGCCTGAGGGACGTGGACACGGTTGCCATCAGCATGAAGTTCCCCAGCGGAGCCATTGCCACTCTGGACATCAGCCAGCACTGCACCAGGAGCTGTGACCAGCGGCTGGAGGTGGGGCCCTGCTGCTCAGTCAAGTCTGCTCTGACTCCACAGCCCAGCACAATTTTTCCCCTCTGGGTGTGCCTGCAGCACATTTCCCAAAACCCCTCTGTTACAGAATCACTGAGGTTGGAAAAGACCTCCAGGATCATCAGATCCAAACTGTCACCAAATCCCCACCTTGTCACCCAGAGCAGATCTTTAAGTGCCACATCTGTTTGTTGGGCTGTTGCCTCAGCAGCAGTGGCTTCTTGTCCTTTTTCAATCTACAATCCACTTTCTCTTTTCTCACCCAGATTTTCTCTCTGTCCCATGCATTATGTGGTGTTATAAACTGCATGAATCATACCAGAGCAGGAGCTGGTGTCAGCTCTCCTGAGGCTGCAGTTGTGCAGATTTCCTATGTCCTTTCCAGAGTAGAAGTGTAAATTCCTATAGTCATGAATAATTACAGCTAGCTATGGGGGCTGGTCTTGGGGAGGAATTTCTGTTGGGCACTTCTAAAAGGGTCTTTGTTCAGGTGAGATATCACACAAGTGGAAACCACTGTAGTACAGCAGATCCATGGTGTTTCTGTTGTGTCGGAGCCATACCAGGGCTGGGGCAGGTGAAATTCTCTTCATTTCAGATCCTGCTTTTGTCTTGGTTTTACAAACCAGGGCTTCTCTAACCTGGCCAGGTGTGTGAGATTGAAAATGTGATAATTTAAAAATGCTCTTTCTTCCTTGTTGTGCTCCTTCCCTCAGGTTCACGGGTCTCAAGGGACGTTAAGGGTGGACAACCAGAACCCCCTGGGCATCACAGAGCATGGGACTTCTGTGTCCATCTGTCCCCAGACCCAAGCTGAGCGCTATAGAGATGCATACAGGGAGCTCTTCCGGCACTTTCTGAGAACCCTGAAAGGTGGGACAAGGCTTAAATTGGTGGCTGGTGTTGCTTTGGGTTGGTTTTGTTGGGGGATGCACTGTGTCAGGTCATGGGGATGGGTGGGGGATGGTGATCTGAAACTCTGCTGGGAAGAAATGAGAGTTGGGAGGGGAAATTGCCTTGGACCTTCCTGTCCTTTGTGGTGAAAGCAGCTGTTTGTGACAGCCAAGAGATCCTCACCTGAGTCCTGGCTGCCCAGAAGGGATAAAAATCACAGAATCATGGAGTGGCTTGGGTAGGAAGAAGCTTTGAAGATCACCTACTCCAAGCTATTTTTGTTCAGCATACTTCAGTTCTTGTGGCTGCATTGACAGGGGGGGCTGAAATGTTTTAACTCCTGCAGCCCCAGTGCTGTGGTGGGATCTGTGCTCACAGGGGACTGTGGGTTTCATCCATGTTGCTGTCCCACAGGCCAGGAGACCCCTGTGGTCACCAAGGAGCAGTTCCTCTGGACAATGCAGGTCGCTGCAGCAGCTGAGCAGTCCTGGAGGGATGGATCTGCTGTGGACTTGCGCAGCAGTGCCACTGGAGTCAAGGCTGAGCTCGTGTGACAGCCACTCCCACCCCGTGGCCTCAGCAGGAGCCTGGATGATGGTTTTAGTGGTCCCACTGGGAATGCCCAGCAGACAGAGGCACTTCTGAACCAGGAGCACTTGGTGCTGGGGCAGTGCAGGGTTCCTACCATGTTAGCCAGAGCCTGCAAGAAATTCCCTGTGGTTTCATCCAGGTGGCTTTTCCTCCTGGAGAGTGCTGCTGGCCACAGAGCTCTGTTTCCCTGGGAGAAGAGCGATGCTCCTCAGGCCAGGCAGGGTGGTTGTAGGACCACCAATAGCTGGGATGAAGGAGAAATCTCCCCTTGGAGAGGGAAGAGCCACTGCCTGCCTGGAGGAGAAGTCACAAGCAGACGCCTTCCCAGCAGTGCCACAAGGGAGGATTTAATACTCAGGAGCATCTGTGAGATATGTTTAGATTGGATATATGGAAGGAATTCTTCCCTTTGAGGGTGGTGAGGAGCTGGAATGATTTCCCAGAGAAGCTGTGGCTGCCCCTGGATCCCTGGAAGTGTCCAGGGCCAGGCTGGACAGGGCTGGGAGCAAGCTGGGATAATGGAAGGAATTTTTTTTTCTTTTTTTTCTTTTCTTTTTTTTTCTTTTTTTTTAAATTGAATTACAACAACATTCTTGACTTCTTCCATTTCAAGGCATTAGTTTATAAACTTCTCACAAGAGCCTTTAGTTCAATCAATTTCCAATTCCTACCTGTGGAATATATACTCCTAAAACTAGAAATAATGGTGAAATTTATGTTCTTTTTGGGAAATTGTTTTTAACAGTGTCATTTTTCAAGCTCAGAAAAACTGTCTTAATGCTTGTTGTCCATTCCATTCACTTTTCTTTAGTCATTTATGGAGAAAAAAAATGTTTTATGTGTTCAGAACCTGGTTTTTGCCTCTCTGTACTTGCTGCAGCAGATTAGTACACAATGGTGGATTTCTTTTTTGTTTCAGTAGCTTCAGGCCCTTTGAGGTCCTACAGTTGAAGGTTTACTATATGGTAGGAGGGCACTTTCTGTCCAGTTTTAATTTCCACATTGCTTTTATTGTGTTACAAAAGAAAAAAAAAACCAACAAAAAAAACCCCCAAAAAAACAAAACAAAACAAAAAAAACCAACCCAAAACAAAAGAGAAACCACAGCTATAAAAATAACACATTTTCCAAAGATAACATTACAAAAAAATACAATTCCTATCACAGAGTGATCCATTAATACTGCTGGGAACAGTCCTGGGAATGCTGGAAATGTGAGTGGTTGTTGCAAAAGCTTTAAAGCATTAAAGTGCTTTACTGAGCCATTTCCTGGGGACACAGAGTCCCTGTCAGCCACACCAGGGGAGCTCCCAGTCCCAAAGGTTCCCAATCCCTGTGGTGTGAGGGGTGGGGTGGTGGCTGCACCTGCAGCTCACCAGTACCCGAGGGAGAGGAGGGACAAGAGGCAGCCTCTGTGTGCTGAAGGCTCAGAGCTGTGGGACACCCAGACAGGGCTTTGGAGGAGGGCCCAGGGCTGTGGGTGCAGCACATCCAGTGGTCACACTCCTGTCCCCACTGGAGAGGGAACAGCCACTGCCTGCCTGGAAGAGAAGTCACATCTCAGGTTAGCCCTGGTGGGACTTGAGCTCTTCTGCTCTTGCTTAGAGGGTCCAGGGCTTTGGGAAGGGTATCCAGCCCCTTCCCCAGCCTGGGGGTGATGGGGAGCAGGTGCAGGGCTGCCTTTGGAGGCCTCCAGAGGGAGAGCAGCAGTGGGAATGTGCTGGGCAGCATCATCTCTGCAGGTTCCCTCAGGCTGCCCAAAATCTCGAGTGACCCAGGGCTGAGGGGGCAGGTGCAGCAGCTCCCTGCCCTCCCTCCCACAGTGACAGCTCCTGTGACTTCCAGTGCCTTTCCAAGACCTCTTGCCTTCCCAAATGTGTAGGGTATAGGGAACACACCTTTTTGTGTCCTTGCTTTCTGTGAAGGCTTTTTTCCCCTGTCTGAATCAACAGAGGAATTGCAGCTGGGGAAAATGATGAGGAACAGAAGAGAATTGGGCAGCCAGTCCATGCTGTGCTCCAAAAAGATGGAATTTACACCATGACATTCCAGCTTGTCAGGTCTGACCTGTCAACAAAACTCCCCAAGGGAGCAGGGAAGGGTTATCCAGACCTCTGACTTCCCAGGACAATCAGTGGCTTTCCCCCTCCTCAACTGCATGCAAGAGATTCAGAGGAGGGAAAAAACTGTGTTTTGAATAGATAAGGCTGGAGACAGGATTCTCTGCATGTTTACATGCTACAACATGGAATTAATTTACTTGACACTGCGGTGTCTCAGGAGTCAGTATCAATTTTTATAGCTTACATGAAAATAAATCTTTCTCTGTCCTTACAGCACAACGAGTTTACTGTATGTACATTCTGTTTATATACACCAACCTTTAAGTACAAGAACACATCGGACAAACAGGGTCTTTCTGGCTCTACTGAGGGCTGAGGGAAGGGGTGCATTTGGCAGTCCATGGAAAAGCAGGATGTGGCTTCACACCAGTCCCTGGCCATGCCTGCACAGATCAGGGCTGAGTCTGTTGCAGTGACAGAGCCCTCTCAGTTTGGGACACCATGAAGAACACGGACGGCAACAGGGGTGAGAAAAATGTGCTGTCCTTACACGGCTGGATGCAGGGATGCTCCAGGAAAACACAAACCACACAGTGCCTCCTGTGCCGTGGGCAGGCAGAAATCCCACTCCGGCTGCTGAGCTGGCTCGGCTGCCCTCCTCCTTTCCTTCCTCCTCCTCCTCCTCACCTCCAGTTTCCTCCCCGGGCAGGCACCTCCTGCCTGGCTCAGGGCCTGCAGTTCCCCTGGATAACAAAGTTAAACTTCTCCAGGTGCCCAAGGCTGCAAATACATTTTGAGGGGGGGGTTTTATCACCCCGCCGGTGTCTCGCTGCCACCTCTGGAGCCCCTCAGTTGATCTCTCCCTCCGTGAACTCCTCCTTTATGGACTGCTTGCGGGATTTGCAGTCCGGGAGGTCGAAGCCGAAGTCGGCCCAGTCGTCGGCGGCGCCGCGGTTGGGGATGGTGATGGTGTGGCGCACGCGGAAGTGCACGGCCTCCATCACCCGCTGCCGCTGCAGCTCGCCCGAGCTGCCGATGGAGATGGTGGAGGCGTTGCTGCTGCTGGAGCGGATCAGCTGCTGGGCCCCGTAGTCGTGGCTCTGCTTGAGCTCCTGCAGGCCCCGCCAGATGATCATGCGGTACTGCTCCGGGACCTTCAGTGCTGCGAGATCCTGCAAGGACAACACCGCTGAGTGGGGTTGTGCCAGCAGGAGAGAGCCCCAGGTTGTGCTTTTGGGGTGACACAATGCCCAACAGAGCAGAGCTGGACCTCCCACCATGGCCATGGTGCCTCATCCCCTGGGTTATTTCTCGTTTGTAACCAAGTTTCTCACTGCAGGTTTGCAGGTTGGAGATTTTTGTTGTTTTTAGAGGGGTTCACATCAAACTGATGTGGAAATGGGAGGGGAGGAAAGGATCATTCCCCTTGAACACGGGTTGCAGAGCAGCGTGTGGAGCATCCTTGTGGCTGTGCACTTGGGATGGCCTCTGCTCTGTCCTGGCCCAGGAGGCTGGAACAGCACCAGCCTCCAGCACTGAGGTGGGTGACACCAGGAGAGGTGGGTGACCTCAGGCTGGGGACCTGTGCCAGGACACACACCAGCACAGGGGGGAGCTGCCAGGGGTCTGTGTTAATGCCAGCACAGAGACTCACGGGAGCGTTAACTGGAGCAGACAGTGAGTATGCAATTAGTAGCTACAAACGCCGACTCAGACACACAGCTCTGCCCTGACACAAGTTTTGGCCATTCCTAAACGTTCCTGTGGACAGCTGACAGGCAGTCATGGAGTTAGTTCAGCAAATGGTCCAAAGCCAGGCTCAGGTTACACAACTGGCCCCAGCCACCAGTGACAAATCATCATCTCTCCTGTGGGATGTTGTAGCTGCCAGGTAGGGACACTGCTACACCTGCCTGGGGCAAAACGAGGTCAAAACAGGGTCGGGCAGGAGCTCTGTCTCAGTCAAAACACCAGCTCTGGGATTTACAGGGTTTTCCATGGCTCAAAGGGTTCAGGATTATTTTTTGTTTTCCTTTTTCTTGTTCCTCTGATGGGCTGGGGAAGCCCCAGCTCTGGTGCCACACCTGGAACCAGCACCAGAGTGTGGCAGCAGCAGAGGCTGATGCTCTGGGCACTCACAGGTATTTCCAGCATCCCCTCCATGCTTTTTCTGACAGCTTTTGCCTGACCTGGGCTATTTCATTCCACACTTCCCTTAATAAAAATGTCCTGGGCTCAGCTCCCTTATTTCAGCCTCTTTCATTTTAAAAATTAGCAGGGGAAGAGGTGAGACCAGATTAAACCTCCCTGAGCTGCAGCGGGGTGTCCCTGCTGGCTCCATGGGATATGGGGTGTTCCACTGAGAACCCCAGCTGTGTTCTCTGTGTTAGGTGGAAAATCTCCCTGAGCTCTGGCCTGGGGATCTTTGATCTCTGTTGTTTCTGAGAGTCTGGAGGAAGCAGCTGAGATTGGTTGTAGGTTTTTGGGACTGGTTGTGATTTTTATCAAGGTCTGAGCAATAGCTACCTCCAAAGGAACATCAAGGGGGCAGGAATGACAGGCATCAATCCTGGGAACACATGTTCTCTTGTGAGGGGTTGGGGCACAGGTTTCCCTTCCTCCAAAACTCTTTTGGTTTTGCTTTTCAGACCAACAGCTGCGGGAAACAAGTGGTAAGAACAGATCTCCCCAAAGCATTTACCTCTATGGATAGGTTCTGCAGGTGGTAAATATTCTGTAACCCTTGTGAGGTGAAATAGTCGATGCAGTTTGGACACCCCAATCCTGTTAAAAAACTGCAGAGAAAGTTTGGAAAATAAAGTGGCATTAAGTTCTCATGAACAACAGCTGTGTCCCATCTCTGTGGGACAGACCATGTCAGGTGGGGGATGTAGAGAGCTCCATGGGTGCTCCACTGGCACTAAGGTCAAAGCACAGTGTGGGGTTGTGTTCATTCCCAAAAGTACACATGTTTTTCTCCTGATTGTCTGAGATTTTGGCTCAGGAACTCATATAATATGAGGGAGCTCAAGCTGCTGGGGAGGGGGATCAGGACACAACACAGCCTCTGCCCTGTGTGGGTGCTGGCCCAAGGTCTGTCAAAACATCCATGGTCTTTTTAAAGGCTAAAACATTAAAAACCTGCAGAGCTATTAATGCATTTCTGATAGAAATAAGCCACATGGACCCATTTCCAGGTGTTGCTGGAAGGAGAAGGGGGAAGCTCACAAAGCTACATGCTATTGGACATGTAGGACAAAACCCTCTTTAGGATGCACTTAATTTCTAATTGATCAGGGATGGATTCCCAGGGAGGTGTATGAGGGCAGTGGGGGTTCCTGACTGATTGGTAGCTGGGTTGTGGCTGCTGAGGTGAGAGGAGCAGCAGTGATTTCTCAGTTGGGGCCAGTGGCCAGTTGACCAGTTGCCAGACAGATGGGAAGGTTAGAGCGAGGGGCACAGCAAGGAGCAGAGGACAAGGCAGGCAGGACACCAGGTGCCTTCCCTACCTGACGAGGCTGGGGTCGGCGTTGTAGGGTGGAGGGGGGGTGCAGTGTGACCCGGACACCATGGACTGGGAGGAGTGGCCCCCGTTCATTTCTCCATTGGTCTGCATGGGGTGGCTGTTCAGCATTCCAGGTCCTGGGCAGTGGCAACAAATGCACTCGTTAGACACCACCCAGACCTGATAACCTGTGGGAACCCAGGGCACAGGGAATATTTCTCTGTCTGCTCTGAGGGGTCCTCACCCCCAGAGAAGCACTGGCTTTGACCCTCACCCATGGAGAAAGCTTCCAGGACTTCAAGATAGACTAGAGTCTACAAAAGTGTGAAATAGATTATAGAGAGTGGTAAAGAATGTCACTTGGGTGAGAAAGTTAGGTTTTGGGATTTTTAGTATGTTGTAGATGGAGGCAAGATAGAGGGCATTGGGCATTGTCCCAAGCTTCTTCTTCATCTACTCCATTTTGTGTAGTGCTGGTGGCACAGGGTGATTGGTCAAGGAAAGCCACAGTTTTAGATTACGTGGACAGACAAGGGATGAGTTGTTGGTAGATAGGTAAAAATAAAGTGCAATTTAAAAGTTAATTAGATGGGGCAAACTTTAAAAGACCTTGAAATGGTACATCTGTAGGCATTTTGTGGTGTGCAAAGTCTGGTGTAGATGGCATGCTGAAGTGTTGCTAAGATAATAATAAACAACTAGCTGAAAACCAAAAAAGCAGTTCATCTCCTTTTCCTGACACAGAACTGCTCCAAAAGGGTTTCCCCTGATAGAAAAACCCGCAGGGAGGGGCTCAGGAATCAATAAATCAATAATAACCCCCACTCCTGGGCAGGGAGAGCCCTGTGCCCAGCCTGCTGACAGAGGACGTACCCATGGGGCCCAGGCTGGGCGCAGAACTGGAGCCGTGTTGGGCAGGCTGCCCCACCAGCTGGTTCACAGAGGGCAGCTTGTTGATTCCTCCGCCGTGGACTTTATTCATGGGGGAAAGCACGGGGCCGTAGGAGGAAGGCGTCTGCAGCTGGCTCCTGTTTGGGGTGGGAACACTCTGGTCAGACTGGGGTGAGTGGGATGGAGCTGCCCTGCTCTGGCCTGCAGCTCCCTCCCAGCCCATTCTACGAGGGTGCTCAGGGGCTGTGGGGGTCTTGAGGGGCTGGGGGGATTGTAGGGGCCTCAGGGACTGTGGCAGTCTCGGGAACTGTGAGAGTTTCAAGAGCTGCAGGGGTCTTGAGGAGCTTCAGGGCCCTGGGGGACTGTGGGCATCTTAGGGATGATGGAGGCCTCAGTGATGGTGGAGGTCTCAGAACTGTGGGGGTCTCAGGAGGCTGCAGGGGCCTGGAGGATTGGGGGTTCTCAGGAACTGTGGGGGCCTCAGGGATTGGGGGGTCTCTGGGGCTGTGAGGGTCTCCAGGGCTGTGGGAGTCTCAGTGGCTGTGAGAATCTCAGGGGCTTTGAGGGTCTCAGGAGTTGTGGGGGTCTTGAGGGCTGTGGGGCTCTCAGGGCCTATGGGGGTCTTGGGGCCTGTGAGGGTCTCAGTGGCTGTGAGAGTCTCAGGGGATGTGGGGGTCTCAGGGCCTATGGAGGTCTCAGGGTCTATGGGGGTCTCAGGGTCTATGGGGGTCTCAGGGTCTATGGGCATCTCAGGGGCTCTAAGGGTCTCAGGAACTGTGAGGGTCTCAGGGGCTGTTGGGATCTCGAGGGCTGTGAGGTCTCGGGGGCTGTGGGGGTCTTGGGATCTGGGGCAGGACTCACTGCCTCGGCAGGAGCTGCTGCT